TAGAATAAATTGAATACCTGTCTTGCACGTAGCCGTGCGGATTTCCAATTAAATCCTCTTACAGTTGTAATTGATTGTAAATTAATCCGTTGTGGGCCGCATTTAGCCTAACTGTTACTCGCTAAATTATTATTGGATAACTGATTCAAATTGTAGATCAAGTGATGTTTGACGATTTGCGTCGTATGATTTATCACGGCGAATAATTAATCAAATAAAAAAACGCAACTCAACATGAACGTATATAAAAGATAATATGGCGCTGGAGAAGTTATTTTCTCATCCAATATTAACATAATGTTAATGGAAGCCGTTAATTAGCATTTTCAGTTTACAGACGCTGGTATATGACCGGATATATCAATTGGAAATCTAGGTAAGAATTAATAACATTATTTACAAATTACTCTTTCATCATTATATTTGAATTGAAGATATTACGTAAAAGCAAAATAAGTACATTTTTCGTTAATGTTGCATTACTTCGTTGAGCCATAAACAGAATTGGGTTGCATGCTGCTCGTGTTTCGCAGGGTTTTTCGATAAAATATTTAATATTTTTCTAGTAATTTTCATATTTCTTGATGACATGCCGTAATATTTTTGCTGCTTTTTCAAGCACGAAATGCTAGCCAAGGCCATGTAATTACACAAAAAAGATTGCTTCATAAAATCACATATATACCATATTTAAAATATTCGAGTGTGATAAAGTTTGAAAATTTCATGTAGTCGTTTATCAAAGTTATTTAGCTTTAAAATATAGCATCATGAATTCCATATTTTATAACATTCAGTCAGATACTCGACGAAGACTTCAAATGAAGTTAAAATTCCGTTCTGTCAACAATTTAGAAGTATTGAAGCAACTGATTTTAAAAACAAAGCAAACTTTTGTTAATTACCAATTGAAAAAACAATGGTATCACCATAAAATCGAAACATCGTATCCCGGTGTACAATATAAAACAATTCCCCAGTACATGGTACATCGTTTTTACCCAGTGAATATACGGAATTCAATTCTGCGGTCAGAAATGAACGACAAATGCCAGTTAGTTCGTGTAATTCAATCATTACCTTTTAACAGTATATCGTGATTGCGTGCTCATAACTTCGTTCTCAGATGGAAAATAATAGTCTTTTTTGCAGCGACGATAAAATTGGACGTGACGAAATTCGGAAACATGGAAATGTACATATTTATTAAGCAGATTATTTAAAAGTTTAATATTCAAACGAAGTCGTTTTTATTCACGTTTTAAAAATATTTTGGAACAGATGAAGATTAATAAGTTTTTAATAAAGTTACAATATTTTAGAACATATAAAACTGTGTTTGTTCTTTTTTTGGTCTGTAGTATTTATCACGTGTATATTACAGGCGGAAGTAAAGTGTTCGTCAAAATCGACCGAGTATTTGCGCGGCGGTTGAGTTCGTCACAGCGCTGATAGAGGGTGACAGGACAACCGTTTCCGGATACACGTGAAGTGTAGTGCAATCCACAGGCAGATTTATGCATCTTTGGTAGCGACTATGCAAATTTATTCAACTATTATGTTATCCTTATTAACTCCGAAAGCATCCATTAGCTTAATACTTGTAATGTGGCAACTAAAGGTTTAACATGTGAGTGCAAAATATACTACTGATTCAGAGATTGAATTTATTCCTTATTATAAAATATTTTACAAAAATTCTATGTAACAATGTACTAATAATAATAAATGAGGTAACATTAATTTTGGTACAGTAAGTTCAAACAAGCTAAAATGAATTATTAATGTGTTTTAGTAATCTTACTGAATTACTAATTTGAAATATAACGTTTCTAAAATAACATTATTATTCATTGTAGTTTAATCATTTTATTGTAATTGAAATTTAAAAATTAAAAATTAAAAGTAAGAACTTAAAAAATTTAGAGATCAAAAATTAAAAGTTAAAATATTGAA